GCAATATAACGACTGGCATTCTTGGAAAACGCATTTGGGTAGGGGGAGGGTAATATACTCGGCTCAAATAGTAAGAGGTTGTAAAAAGTGAAGGCGAGTGCATGACCAAGTCATGCTATTTCGATTCTGTTTTGCTGCGTTTGCCATTATTGACATCCCCTTAGTGTCACACGTTGAATGTAAATATCAGTAACTATACTCTCAGCTTCAAGATCGCGTGGTTAGGTACCAATATCATTACAGGTTTTCGAGTAGTCAAGTCTAGAAAGAGAATGCTACTAAATCTTTCATGAATAGACGCTTTTTTTAGAAGTCACACAAATGCTCGTAGTCTAGTAAATAAATTCCATTAGCTTGGAGTGTTAGTGAACGAGTAAAAGCCACTCATCGTAGCTGTAGCCAAACAATGGCTAGTTTATGACTCTGATGTCACTCCAGAATTATAGGAATACAACTACGTAAAATGATAAAGGAATAAATGCAGGAAAGAAGTTGGAATCCTTATATACGTAACTAATAACAAAACATCCTTTCCTTTGCTTGTGAATCACATGCCAGTGAAACTTGTGAATCCACAAGCTGTGAGATCTCCTTTAAGGGCTATACATTTATACTCGGTGTCATCAATCGTAGCCAAGTCTGGTGAGCTGATGACTTTATTTTAGAGCACATTCACCTGTGGTGGGAAAATAACAGATGCCTGATATTAAGAAACTTTAATGCACCTGATGCTAGTTGGACAGAGTTGGCCACCACAAGATCTAAAAACTCTCTTGACAATAGGCTCCCGATGACTATAATGTAGCGTGCTTTAGTATGGCATGTATCCGAACCACATGTTCCGGTTCAAATCAGGGATATTCTTTGTTAAACCTAGTAATCGCTCACACGATCGAAAATATCGTTCATCTAAATGTTCACCCACTGTTTGCAGATAGTTGTCATGCTGTTTAGCCATACATGTCAACAGCTTGTGACATAATAAACAGTTGGATTAGGTCCCACCTAAATGTGTGGAGAGCAACAATGGACTGGTCAGTAAGTACAATCTTATCAATTGAAGAGGAATGGACCATATTCGAAGGCGCACTTATCTTAGTTGCGTCCTCATTTACGCCATGCATAGTACCATGTAGACCAAATAACTGTCCACCATTGATAACTAAACGAGTCAAGAAAGGCATTATAATACGTTTATCTCTACAGGCTCTGGACAGTACAAAGCTACCTGCTGTGAGACTCAAAACGCATGAAAGCCGGTGATAAGGCTAACGATTCCCATGAAAAACAATTGGTTAAGGATTGTGAAAATGTTTCTCTCACATAAGGAGGTAAGTTCAGAAAACTGGTGGAATCCCACCAATCTTCGTACAGGAATGTCCGTTGATATCGACAAGAAATGACATTGGAATCGATAAAGCTTTGTCAGAATATTCCAGTCAAGTATTGTTTACCGATGATGGCGCGAGACTAGCGATTAATCGTGACCACGGTGGCTTGTCTGCGGATCCTACGTCTATTGAGGAAAGAGCTGTCTTGTGATTAGTTCAACAACTGGAACCAGATACGTTCAGTGGTCCTGATGACATTCATCCTGCGATTATGGAGACACTGACAGATGTAACTGAACTCCTAGGCACACTGTCTGATATTTCTTTGCGGCAGTACAAACTCCCAGGAGACTAGAAATGAGCAATCGCCAGTATAGTTTATGAAGCGGAGGGTATGAACTTACTTAGTAACTATCTACCAGTTAGTCTAACAGTTTAGTCGTAAAACTAGTGGGAGATATTATTCGGATGGGGATTTGAAACTATGTGGAATAGAGTAATCTTTTAGCCTGGGAACCGAAAGGCTTTGTGATTGGCTTATCATACTTGACAGACCTACACATTTCAAGAGAAGGTCGGTCCACAACGATGGAAAGAAACCTTCTATTAGACGTAATTTCATAGACCTAAATATAAGCTTGGATAAGGTTCCTTACATGGGTCGTGAATTAAGACTGGAAAGTTTTAGGATCCATGAATTTGGTAGGTGACTTTTCCTGTGATAGGAGAAAACAGGCACGAGCAAATGTGGCTCTATCAACGTAGGAGTTCGAAAAATGTGGGGTTCTCCAATAAACAGTCCTCTGTCCTCCTCCCTTTTTGTCCTGTGTAAATGACGACAATTGTAGAAGTCATCTGTTCTACTATCTGCAAATGTCATGACGTTTCGGGGACCCAGACACTATATGACACATAGAATAATATTACAGGATGTCCTAAATTCACTGGTTGAATGAATGTGCAGGATTACGTCGGGAGTTCACTTTAGCATGAGTGTGGTGATACCTACTTACTTACACCTGTTACCCCTCGAGGAAGAGCGTTGCTCGGCTATCAACATTCTCTATCCAACACTGTACTAAGCAATCCTTTCTAGTCCCAGTTGCTATTCATCCTTTTTATGTCCGCCTCCAGTTCTCGATGCAGTGTGTTTTTTGGCCTTACCGATTTCTTTCACGATTTCGAGTTAGCGCCGGATTCATAATGCAGTTTGATTATTACCGTAATGTATGTCCTATCCACTCCCAACGTCTTTTCCTAATTTACCCTTCAGATGGAAGCTGGTTCGTTCTCTCTTATAATGGCTGTTGTTCACGGTATCCAGTCATCAACGGACATTTAGCATCTTGCGTAGATAACTGTTCATAAGTGCTTGTACATTTTTGATGATGATTGTTGTAGTTCTCCACGTTTCAGCTCCGTTCAATAGGACTGCCTCTACGTTCATAATGAAGATTCTGACTTTAATATTGGTTGACAGTTTTTTGAGTTCTATATGTTCTTCAGCTGTAGGAGTGCAAAAAGTACAAGTGATTTCGAACAGTTTTTCTGCAGATGTTGAATACCGTACATCTTTATGACCCTGCTTGACCTTGATGCTGTTGTAAAAGTTTGACTTCATGGTTTGTCTATATTAGTAGTTTTTGGCCTTTTTTTGCTGTGCTCATTATACTCAGTGGTGTCTCCCATAGTTCACCTTCTAACTGTTTTCAAGGAACGTAACATTTTATGACGAATTTAGGTCTGAATCCAAATTAGGACGTGGCTCATCTTCGAATGTGTAAAGCTCTATACCGGTTATTATCTAGGTAATATGAAGACGGTATAGAGATCGTCACACTATTCTGTAACATCTATCCTCTCGGTCCTGTTTTTGAATGCCACCAAAGTTCTCTAAAAGTAAAACTTGTTTATGCACGACATATCATCTTTTACAAGCTTAATAGATAATTCGTCCATTCATTTTATCTTCTTATAGTTCCACTCAAGTTTTTACTTAGAGCTTTCAGTGAACTATTGCTCTTACATACGAGGACTTGCTAGTTAAGTGTCACTGTCCACAAATTCGAAAATCTGTTTTTGGCCTTTGACATCCTAAATTCAAAGATATAGTTCGTTCATCGTAGATTATCTTTAAAATCATTTCTGTAGTTCACAAGTCAAGTGAATGTGGTGAGCATTCCGATTCGAGGGAGTTTGGAGATGTCAGGTTTCAAAACCATTTACTGCTAACTTACATTTACTCCCTTCGGGAACATCTGTTAGTTGACATTCAGATCCATTGTTTCCTGCCTCTTTTTTCTAGAAATGCTGGCCAGATCTCTAATGATTGTCTGACGGGTTGGTATGTGGTCTTCATAATATATCATTTACTTAGTCAGTTAAGGCATTTTTATTCAATATAACTCTGAATTAGTTTTATATTAACTTCCATAGCGATACTAAAATGTCGATTAAACTAATGCTATTGGAAATGTGCTGGGCTTATTCAGCGCATGTAGATTGCTAATGAAAAAGGCGGCGAAAAGGGTGGAAATGTCGATTTAAAATAAACACACCTGGTCCATGGATTCGCAGTTCAAAAGAGACGAGTCCATCTTCCTCAGTTCATAAATTACTTCCTATCTTTTCGTTTCATCTAAGTATCTGAAACTGTTGCCGACATATCTGGTATCTGAGAAATTGTCCCTGTTCTTCTGAATTTGTGCTCAAATCTCCATTTCAAATCGTTCCGTGAACTAACTTCTTGTCGAGTCAAAAGACAATTTTCAGTGGTCATGACTCTGGAATTCTTAAGTATAAACTTATGGTGTCTGTTAACTTTAAGCGTAGAGAAAATTATCGTTTAGTCTGGTAAATATCAACATTCGCTCAGCTGTGAACACAAATGAGTTGTTCCTTCTTAGGGAATGCCATCAAAAGATTCTCTCGTTATGGACATTTTTGAATTCCAACTATACGATGGTACAAGAATGTGTTTGTGTACACTTTACAAATGAAGAAGTGTTGGCCATACCGTTATCATAAAATGCTTTAAAGAAATAAGCTAGGAACTGGTAGTTTTATAACTAGAAAAGTACCGACGATTAAGATACAGGTTTTCGTGGGGAATATTTTATTACTATTATAGTCTAGTAAAACCAACAATATGACTTTATCCTCAGGCTCTATCATAGATTAAGGGTCTCAACTGCCGAAGTAACTTCTGTAAGCATTAGAGTCGGAAACGTGACCACCTTATTTCTCTACATCTTTTCACGGAATGTGAGTGGATCGCTTAAATCATATTCGCATTTTGAGTCTATTTTACAGAAGAAGCGGTAAACCGCGCAAAATTAAACATTCAATTGTTACGGCGTAGATATCATACCCTCATTTTACTTATAGTACATTATGTACACCGAATTGAGAGCTAAAATATTCTATAATGTCCTTAATTTTGGGTATAGAAATATAAATAATATACAAAGGCTCCCAAGATGCTTTGATTAATTGTCCACTGAAACACAAATTGGTTACTTATTAAATGTTTCACAAGCACTTCATTTTTGTAGCGAACATTCACGAAGTATTTTCTGATATGTTCGTCCTTTGTAGGCCACGAGCGTGCAATGAAATTGCTGTCGAGTGGAGAAATAACACCGGCATCAAAATCTTTGTATTGCGCCGATGCGCCAAGAAGTTGAAATTCCGCTCTCCATCCCCCGGCACGATGGTCATAAAGTTAATCCCCCTCATTATGAATTTTTATTCGGAGCAGCAGCCTATTCTGTCAGCGTTGTAGTTCTTTTCCCTTTGTACAAAACAGTATTTTTTCAACAACTTGATGGTATTCCTTGGATTCAAGCCTTAATTCGCTATCGAATTGAAGGAGTTCGTATGGCCTACAGAGGTGTTTTGCCACCTTTGTTACAACGGGCATCCTCAGGAGCGCTTATGTTTGGTGTTCAGAGTTCATCAGAGCGTTTCTTAGTAAATCACCCTGTGACTTTTAACTACTCACCTATTCTGCACAAAATTGTTTCATCTGCACTTGCTGGGTGGTCTGAAGCTGTACTAATGCCCTTTGAACGTGTTCAAACGCTACTGCAAAAGAAAGATTATCATGACCGATATAAGAATACTTTTCATGCACTAATAAATGTAACTTCAAATCACGGTGTCAAGGAACTCTATCGCGGTTTATCCCCTGTCTTAGTGAGAAATAGTGCGGCCAATGGACTTTACTTTTGTGGGCACAAATGGCTAAATGATATTCGCGTTCGTCGCACGTGTGAAAGTACTATGGAACGTAGTTTGTGGAATTTTGCTCTTGGTGGTATTTTGGGAGGTACTATCGGTATGGTTACATTTCCTCTAAATGTCATAAAAACTCGAATGCAATCAAATGTTGGTGGATCCTTTATTGGTTTTCGCCCAACTCTCGTATCACTAGTTTATGAAGACTCTGATAAACCAAATATTTTAAGACTTTTTCGTGGTGTGCCAGCTAATTTCATACGTTCTGTTTTTTCATGGGGTTTGATTACGATGACTTTTCATTTTTTATTGGAAATGAATTCTATGATATGCTGATATCGAAATTTGCACTATGAATCAGTTATTAAGAAACAATATATAACCTTATACTTTCATAGATTGTGCATACAAATTTGGCCTTCCTTGTTAGTTATAATGTACAGTGAAAATTCCTAAGAACTGCCTTTGTTCAGCTTAAAATTCTGAAAAGATTTTAAATCAGTCTTATTTGTCACAGAACAGATCATGTCGTTCTACTCAGGATCGGTTTGATATTTTGTGAGAAATAATGCTGCTGCGGTTAGGTATACATAAAACATAAAGAAAATCCACAACCATATAAACTGATTGACTATCTTTACCTAGTACCCTACGCCTAACCTCAAAATCGCCCACTTGGTTGCTCTGTGAAACGCCAGCGGTGATCTTAAGATGTCTATGGTTAAAAACCTGCGGCCTTTGGATGTCATCTGCTTTCATATGCCATGTTACACAGCCATAGATAAACAAAGCACACTTTTGTACAGTGTACACGCCCTTTGGTTGATAGACAAACATTTCGTCTACGCTCTAACTGATGGAAGTAAGTTAAAGTCAAGAAAGCTTTCTAAATCCTTACCGGGATTTTGTCTGACACCTGCCCACCACTTGGTTGGTCCCGATTTTATTATTATTGCAAAATATATATTAGCATAGAATTACAAAAGATTAAGATTTTACTCTGTTTACCTTCTTAAACTTGTAGACATAAAGTACATACAAAATCGTGTAAGATTTTTAAGTGAATATTGTCTGCGTAGAAGTGGTTGGGATTAGACTTGTTTTTGATTGTAACAGAACATCAGTCACTTATTAGTGGAAAAAAATAATAAGACCAAATTACGTTTTAATCCTCTACACTATAGTACGCCGTTTTGTTTATCAAGAACAAAAATGCAAAATCTAGCATCATTAGTGTATCCCCTAAAAAACGTATGATGACTTTTAAAATCCAATTTCATGTTTTTTCGCCATGACGCATCACTACTATCCTGCGTTCCATAGTGCCATGTCATAAACTGATTACTTTCCCCACCTTATGATGGACTGCAATAACATTTGTTAATTGCAAACTATATCACGTGTAATGTAACGCAAAAATATCTATCATATACAGTTAGCAAGGTCGTGTGAAGCGATCATAAAGCTACAACAGCAGTTTTTAATAATATGGGAATCTACAAAATGAATAAATAAACGCACATGATTTCGAATAAGTAATTACTCTTTGAAAGATAGTTTGAACTCAGACTAGATTGACGGATTAGAACTAGCCTTTCCACTCCATATCTAAGATGAATAAATATATTTATTCTTGGTTTGTTCGACCTGCATAAGCGCTAGAAAATGTCATAAAGGTGTGTAAAACAAAACTACTCGGTATTATTAAGAACATTATTTTTCCGTTCTTCCTTGCATAGAATCATTACTTATGCTTGAGATAAATAACGTATATCTACTACCTTATGATGTTCGAATTGAGTAATCTATGACATGAATGATTTTCAACAAGGGTGGAAACTATGACGGCATACAAATCTGTGTTTATATACTAAGTTGCACTTGGATTTCTGAATTTTCTAAACTATACATCAACCTTGAGTTATAATGAAGTATTGTGTACTTCGTGTAGAGGGACAATGTTGTGGTTAATACTCTACGTACGGAAACGATACGTCCAACTTGTCATACGTTCTTGGTCCTGATTCCCTTCCACAGTGTGTTCTGGTCTTGCTTTTTTTAAAATTATTGTTTTATAATTTTAGACCATTATCACTTATTATTGTCGTTTAACAAATTTTCATGATTATTATTCAGTTATTACTATGATATTTATGTTTTTCGTCTTCATATCTGTCAGGCGGACAATTATCTTTCAAAATTCTAACCCGTAAATTATTTTCATCCTTTTATTCTTTTCTAATACCCTGATTATTACGCAACCTCATTTGATATTTAGAGTCTCGAGTCACTTTATGATGCAATCTTTCTATAGACATATACTTACCATACAACTATAAATACGAATGTACAGCTTAAGTAAATGATTTTGTCGAAAAGGGAATCTTCTTCGCTGAATTCTCTTCATTCAATGACATAATGGGTTACTTGACGCTTAGTTTGCTGTGATATATCGCACAATTTTTCTGTTTTAAGGAGTTGGTATTCGCAGATTCTGATTGAGCGATAATAGGTTACCACAGATTTCCATCAAAAAGGATAGCTTGATGACAAACATTCTGGTTAGCTCGGGTATTACATGAATTCAGATATATAGGGTTAACGAAATAACTTTTCTGTCCACCCGACTTCGGTTGTTATCTGACGTTACATTCGGAGCAAAATCACGTACAAAACAGTTGTTAGACATACCTCGCTTTTACCCTTATGACTTCCTACCGCTTGTTGAAACTGACTTCCACGTATGCACCTAAAACAGTTTTTATATTTTTATTAAATCGGTGCTTCTATAGGTTTGGATTTGAATATGAATTCCCTGAGGTTTTTTTTACTCCTATTTCACACAATCCTAGGCTGAATTCACTGTCTTTGACTTGTGCGAAACTAATTTCCACCTTAGGAACAATGAAATATGTTACACATTTCGGGAAATAGCGGACATTTTGATGTATTAAGGCTTTCATTTAGCACCATAGTACTGGTTCGCCTAGGTCATATTTCCCAAAAAAAGAACTTGGAATTTGAAAAAAATTGTTATTTTAGTTTGAGTGCTTTATTTTTGATGTATAGTTATCGAAACACTTACCACTAGGTGAGTCATAATATAGTGCCGATTGTCTTTTCTCAGAGCGATAATAATAGGCTATACCTCTACTAACTCGATATCATGGGAAATAATCAAAACTTGCTATTTCTCAGTAATAAGACCTTGTAAAAAGGGTGACAACACAGTTTTTCTATAAAAACAGTTTTGTTGTTAATATTCTAATTAATGTATTTTTAGATGTGAGGATTTTATCTCAGATACTTCAGAAAGATATCAACTGCAAAGGATAACCAAAAGATCGACAGCAAAGAAATTCATCCTGACCATCAATGTAACCATGGTCAGATGGACAAACTGTATTACTCGTTTCTACTGTCTACTCTAGACCTTATTCTAATAAATGTGTTTACTTCCGCTCTAGTTACGACAAATTCTCAAATTTAACGCTGGACTTTGACTTCATGGGTCTACACGTTTTGATATAGATGTTGATTGTAAGACGAAAACTAAGTATGTTGCCCTACAACAGATCAGGCTTCATTATCCGGATGCTTGAGAAGTTTCTGAATCAAATACGACGAGTAATCTTCAGTGACACTACTTATATTCAACTTTAGGATATATATTAACACAATATTTCTGGTCTTGGTTATTTTGCTTTACTGTTTAAGTAGTCTCTGGAAAATGACAAAAGCTTATCAAATGAGTACGTTGCAAAAATGAATTCGATATCCTGAACGCAAGTCTGAAAATAACATGGGTTTTTCAGTCGCTAACTTCGAAACAGTGCTTTAAAACTGATCTTCATCAATGCTTGATTTCACGATTTGAATTGACTTGATGTACTGGTTATTGGTCTGTTGTTGTTTCTCGGTAACTAATAAACTACCAACTTGTATTTAAGAAGTTCACTAAAAATTTATCAAATATCAGTGCTAGAATTGTATCTTCAAACACAGGAAAATCCAATAGAAATTACATTAGTTTACTTATTCAGAAATAAACTCAATTACGAAGTCTCAATAAAAATAAAATACGGAAAGATAAACCATTCTGAAACGAAATATTATCTTTTTGATGTGATTCGTTGAGGAAAAACAATCACAGTATGTTTAGTTGTCGGCTAAATAATACGTAAAAACAGTAATTTAACTATATATGAGCACCATATAAAACTTTCGGAATCATAAAACAAACCGAATACCCTGATGTGAATGATATGTTCTCAATAAATCAGTGGCATTTTGTTATAAAATGACGTAGAACGGAATGATGGTTGTAATAACAATGAAAGTTTATCTAAAAAGTAACTTCTTTCTGGAATTTTATCTCACCGAATCCTTCAACCGATAATGGTGGGTAATTAAATGAGTTCGCCGTAAAAGCCACATCCAACACTGTATCATCTCCTACACCTAATACAGGATACAAAACTTCACCGCCGCTGTCAATACACAGTGGGCTTTGTTCTGTTTGCTCCGAATACACATGAGCAATATCTCCATTGATTGTAAATCTCAATTCCCCTTTATCATAAATCACCCCAATTATATCACCCTCTTCAACAGATTGTTTTAACTGACCAATCACATGACCACGACTCCATATTTTCATATCGTTTCTAAGTATCCAACATGATGAGTCATCAGTAAGCGATTGGACAGAATCCAATGGAGTCTAATTTTTGAAATGACAAATAATTCGATGAAGAATCCAAATTAAGGAAATAAATCGACATTTAATAATTGCAAATAACAAGTGAGAATAGAAGTTACTGACTTCAAAAAAGATTTATGAAATTGGTGTAACTTTTAAGAAGATCAAGATTGAAGCATTTACATAAATTTTATGCATTAAACTTTACAAGACTGAGTATTAGAATGATTCATTAATAGATTGATTCATCTCGGTGGAATATACTTATAAACCGCTATCCATTACAACGTTCTCTATAAATAAATAGAAGTAGGAAAATGATGAAACTGTCTTCTCTTCTTTGACTTGATTCTTGGCCTCATATCTATTTATAACTTTTCTAGAAAGATAATGAAAGGCTCACGAATAAACCATCATAGTTGAGAACGCGGTTTCAACAAAATCGTTCCCATGAACTACAAATCTCCATTATTTCGGGATTGATTTACCGTAAAGTATGATTGTTGTAGTTAGTATACCCTTCTGACTAGACAGAAGTTTGTGGGACCTACAAAAATGTTTTAATCCATTTTATCATAACTACCTAATTAAAATGAAGTATAAGATTCTCAATAATAAACAAAGGTGTGATCTA